TTTTTAAAAAAATTGTATTGATGTCTTACATTTCATATATAAGACATCAATACAATTTTTTTAAAAAGGATAAGGAAGCTTAACGTGCTCGTGTTTACATTATCATAATGATTCTTTTTAAAAACACATACTCAGTTTTCATCAGAATCAACCTGTGGTGGACAGTGCAATCAAGTCACAGCCAACTTATGGTGACCTTGTAGGGTTTTCAAGGCAAGAGATGAACAAAGGTGATTTGCCATTGCTTGCCTCTGTGTAGCAACCTGGATTACCCTGGTGGTCTCCCATCCAAATACTAACCAGTGCTGACCCTGCTTAGCTTTCACTTCATGCGAGCATTAAAGAAGACCATTAAAGAATTACCTTTTCCAGCATTAAAGAATTACCTTTTCCAGCAGTTTAATGTGCACAGAGCATTACATCTGTTACTTTAATGTCCACATTTCAAATAGAGACAATCTTTTCAGGGCATATATACATACATACATATATACATATATATGAGTGTGTGTGTGTGTACGCATGTGTGTGAGAGAGAACTAGCCACAGACCAAACAGCGTGGGCTGCTGGGGAAACAGTTGTTTTTAAAAGGTAGGTCAATCTTATGGGCAGCCTTACCAGCAACGAAGAGAAGGCCTCCTATTCCTCGAACAAAGTTAAACCTTAATATTTCAATAGAAAATGCGATGACTGCCAGGATAAAACAGATGACCACGAGGACAAAGCCCACAAGGAATGTAGCAGCTGCAGCTCTACCCCAGCCTTTGAAAAAGAAGAAGAAGAAAGGGGGGAGGGAGATAAAATATGTTATATTCATTGACAAAGATCAAATCTTAGTTTGGTCTTTTTCTTGACTAAAATAATAGAATGCAAGTTTAGATCCTGGAATGCATAAAGTAATTTTTAGATTGTTGTATTGTCATAATCCGTTTGGCACTGAAGACCAGACTATCATTTTGGCTACACAGCTAATGGAGTAGAAATGCATGTGCCATCAGAACAGCATGGGGTAACAACGTGATAGCCAATAAAGCATCATTTAATTGAAACATTAGCATTCCTCAACAAAGGAGGACAAATTCTGGGTCACAGAGTTATAAAATTTTAGCCTGAGAAAGAATACATGAGTCACAAGGTTAATCCTGTCCAAAACTTTATCATCTCAGTCTGCAAGCTTTAAATTTATTAAGTATGTAAGACTACAGTCCTATGCATATATAATTAACAGTAATTACCACTAAATACTATGTAAAAGGTAAAGGTAAAGGTTCTCTTGCTCAAAAGCCAGTCAAATCCGACTCTAGGGTTGCGGTGCTCATCTCCGTTTCAAAGCCGAAGAGCCAGCGCTGTCCGAAGACATTTCCGTGGTCATGTGGCCGGCATGAATAAACACCAAGGCGCACGGAACGCTGTTACGTTCCCACTGAAGTGGTACCTATTTATCTACTTGCTTTCGAACTGCTAGGTTGGCAGGAGCTGGAACTAGAGACGGGAGCTCACTCTGTCATGCGGCACACTCGGGTCTCGAACTGCTGAACTACCGACCTTCCACAGCCTGCAGTTCAACATCTTAACCACTTGTGCCACCATAGCTCCTAAATACTATGTAAAGACATGCAAAGGATCAGGCTGGAATACCAAGGTATTTACTCCTCTGAGAGAGAAAATGTGTATGACATTTTGTAGTCCAGTGTGACAGTCCAGTCCATGAATGCACGACAAAAAAAAATGGTTAATATCCAGTTCTCTAAGGTTCCAGCATGATGCCACCGCCATCCCCACCACACGGCAACTCATTCCTAGACCAGTGTGAGATCAAAGGAACACAAGGAGAGGCAGGACATGATGGAATAGATGTAGCCAGTATCCCTTCTCATCGTCCCTCTCACTATTATTTCAGATGCAGACAGTTGCCCAGAGGCAGCATTGATGTACCACCATAAGCTTCTCCTTCCACTATGCAGATCATCTAATGATCCAATTTACGTCTGAGGGGATGCTGATACTCAGTTTGTACAAAATAATTCTCCCAAACAGGAAGGGATTAATCATAAGAACAGGGCCTCAGGACGATCACATAGCCACACGAAGAACCCCATTCACAACTACAGGCAATCTGCACTGTGAAGGAGATGGCGTCATGGGGCTCTTTCACTGTGCCTTTCCAGCATCAAGCTCAGCTGAATGTATGAAATCAAAATACAGGTGAAAGAGCACTTTGCAGTAGCCACAAGCATAACCTGATTTGTACACCATAATGCTGCCCCAAAGGATATTTTGCCCATTATCACATTAGTGACTATCATAAAGAGGGAAGGTGTCCATTTGTCATACTGACTATGAACAGAGTTGTTTTAGAATTATAGAAAAACCTACTAAGATCAGGATTTAAGACTAGAGGACCTGCTCCAATAGGACTCCACAATGAAACATGGATGCATTTAGTTGTCATGATAGACATCACAAGGGAAGGGGGGGAGTAAAGCAGACAACAGGATACAGCTTACTGCAATACTGTTGTCTGCTTCGTCCCTCCCCTCCCCTGTTCCCTTGTGAATGGATCTTGGGAAGCCTTGAATTAAACTCCAGTTGGCCACACCCATTCAAATGCAGCAGCTGGGCAAATGTGTTCCTTCAACACAAACAAGAACTTCAAACCTCAGTGTAACCCCACTTTAGTTTGGGGTGGGGGAACAAACTCCAAATTGCCACAGCAGCTGCATTTGGACATCACCACAAATTGCAGCTTGACTGAAAGTTTCCTAGCTTAGGGTGATTATTAGTCTTCAAACATGTTTCTATATAAAGAAGGAGAGGCAAGCAAGCACAGCAACAAAACAAACAATGTCGATGCTCATCACAGACAAGTCCATTCGCTGAGATGTCTGAATGAGGTGTATGTTTCCTACAGGTGGGGTGGCATCCACTTCCTTGAAGATTACCACCCAGGCACCTTTAAGTGGAGACTAGTGATCATTAGGGATTAAGTGGAGACTAACTAAGCAAAGTATCTTCTCCTTCTCCAAAGCCTTTGCCAAACAGTGCTAGATATCTCCCCCCCCCCTTAATGTTAATGTTCCTATTACTATGGGTGAGTCTGCATCTAGCATTCGCGCCACATTTTCTCAACTGGGAGGGGAAAGTGCAGCTCAAAACCACATTCAAATACCTTGGGGCAACACCGTACTGACTGCAAAGTCACCCCTGAATGGCCATAAATCTATGCAGAAGGTACAATAAAATCCGATGATCAAAGAAAGTGAAAGCGGCATGGAGTGTGGAGGTTCCCATAAAAACCAATATTCAAAGGAAATGAAAGGAGCATGCAATGCAGAGGGGAATTTCTGCTCCAACTTGGGTTTCGTAAAACAACAGATGGAAAAGCCAACGCAGATTCAGGCAATGATAGGGACGTGGAATGATTTAAATCCAGAAGGAGATAACGATGTCACGCGGTCCCATTATGGATGCATACACTGAAACTGACTGATAATCGCACAACAACTACTACATATTTATCACACTGTATTTATTTTTAATATTTCTGTGTCATCTCTTCAGTCATGCTTGTTGTTGTTCAGTAGCACAGTCCAGTCCGACTCTTCGCGACCCCATGGACCACATCACGCCAGGCCCTCCTGTCTTCCATTGTGCTCCAGAGTTTGCTTAATTTCATGTTCATTGCCTCGATAACACTGTCTAACCATCTCATCCTTTGCCGTCCCCTTCTTCTTTGACCTTGAATCTTTCCCAGCATCAGGGCCTTCTCCAGTGAGTGCTCCCTTCTCATTTGGTAGCCAAAGTCTTTGAGCTTCAGTTTCAGAGAGCCAGTTTGGTGTAGTGGTTAAGTGGGAGAACCGGGTTTGATTCCCCACTCCTCCACTTGCACCTGCTGATGTGACCTTGGGTCAGTCACAAGCTCTGGCACAGCTGTCCTTGAGAAAGAGTAGTTTGTGTCACAGTTCTCTCAGCCCCACCTACCTCACAGGGTGTCTGTTGTGGGGAGGGAAAGGGAAAGGAGTTTGTAAGCCGCTCTGAGACACCTTTGGGTAGTGAAGGGTGGGGTATAAATCGCGCTCAGCCTTCCTTATGGTCCAACTCTCGCAGCCATACAGTACTACTGGGAATACCATTGCTTTGACCATACAGACTTTGTTGGCAGGGCGATGCCTCTACTTTTTATTATGCTATCAAGGTTTGCCATCACTTTCCTCCCAAGGAGGAGGCATCTTTTAATTTCATGGCTGCTGTCACTATCTGCAGTGATCTTGGATCCCAGGAACGTGAAGTCTGTCACTGCTTCCACGACTTCTCCTTCTATTTGCCAAGGAGTGATGGGGCAGGATGCCATGATCTTAGTTCTTTTGATGTTGAGTTTCAAGCCAACTTTTGCACTCTCATATTTTACCCTCAACAAGAGGCTCTTGAGGTCCTCTTCACTTTCTGCCATTAGAGTGCTATCGCCTGCATATCTGAGGTTGTTGATGTTTTCCCCAGCAATCTTAATTAATTACTTACAGCATAAAAATCCATAAAACTGAGGCAGATCATTAAAAAGCCTGGGTAAAAAGACATGTTTTAACCTGTCACCTAAAAGAAAATGAAACAGGTACCAGGCAAGCCTCAAGGTGGAGGGACTTCTAAAGGTGAGGTGCCACCAGTTACAACCCACCTCACTTCTGATGGGGGCGGCGGCACAGACAGTAGGGCCTGAGAGGAGGGTCTTAACTGGCAGTCTGGATAGTATTGGAGGAGATGTTCCTTCAGTAAAGGATCATCTGCTCCCTTTAACTATGACTAATGCTCACTAGATTCCCTAGTATTAACTAAGTTATAAAGCCAGAGTCTGAAGGCAGTATGCAAAACTTGGTTAACATGAAATCTAGTTAGCCTTCGCCATGATTAAGATGAGGACTGATGGGGAAATCTGTCAAGGCATAAGAGGCATAGCTACCACAGCTCACACCCAACATTTCAGTTCTGGTCACCCGCCTATTAATTAAGCCTTGCTGCTGGGACTGAATATTAATCAAACACTTTTCAAGCTGAAAGGATTAACAATTATTTTATAATCATGCAAAGGATGAGGCTAGCTCAGGCTACGTTCCTCCTATGCTGCTCCACCTATTCTAACAGTCTATAAATATGCGTTACACAAAGTAATGCACGTAACTCTTAATTAAAAAGCTGTTACTCCATTTATTAGAAATACTTTGTACATATATAAGAGTTTGAAAAGGCTCACACACCGAAGAACTTTTAAAAAGTTGATTTCAAGCCACATAAACTGATGGGGCTACAACAATCATTCCAGCAAGCAAGCCCTTCTAAAACATGTATGCCTAGTCATGGCTCAATAATTTACATTTATGGAATCACATACACCCTTCCTACAGCATCATCTTTAGAGAGTCACTCCACCCTTCTTCCACTGCCCTACATTATTTCAGAATTACACATAAATGTTAACCACAGACAAAAGCTTTTAAAAATTCCTTCCTAATCAGAGTTTACTAACCACCTTCAAATTCTAGTTAAGCAAGGACACCGGTGAACATCAAATATGATTAATATGACAAATATAAGACTCATCCATGGTTAAATCCAAAGGGAAGACTGGACCACAGGAGATCACAGGAGATGATGGGTATCAAGATGAAGTCCTGTTACCCACTCATAATCGGTTGGATTGGGGCGCGCAAATCACACACTCTTTCCCCCCACCCACAAAACTCCTAGTTTCTTGTGCATCAATTTCCAAGCCTCCCCTTTCCCATTCCTAATAAGCATTCTGTCAGCACTGACATAAATCTTATTGTTAACCATTGACTCTATTTAACCAGAGCTTTAAGGGAATCTGGTTTGTCCTAACCATGGGTAACATATATGCTGATTAATCAGAGAACACACTTCTGAGGCTATATGGGTCCCATCAGTCTCATCTCAAACATTTAAACTATCAGGTAAGTGTCTTGTGCTGCTTTGGCTATTATGAAATCCATTCATTCTCCCACATATTTCAGTTCTACACACACTTCTTTTATTCTGTGGAACCGGTCTTACTGTGTACTATGTGTGGCGGGCTATTCATCGTAGTTGGGCATATGCTATACTTCCAATACTAAGATTAGCTATCAGTTCGCTTGATTCCTAAACATATAGTGGAATCCTAAACTGAATTCAAATTAAATTTAAGTCAATGAGGCTTCAAAGGGTATAACTCTACTTCTGGATAGTGCTGATAATGACTAAATCTTTCCCCCAGAGTTTGAAAAGCAGCTGCAGGAGGCAAGTCGAAAGGGGGAATCAGCCAGGAGGGAAAAGGGAATTCAGATTCACACCTCTCCCCACCTTGTTCAGACTCTCAGGCTCCCCAGATTGCTTCTGCTTAGAGAAAAAAACCCCATCAAAGGTGAAAGATGCACACAACTGCGTGTTACGGCTAGTTTGGTTCTGTGATAAGTTTGAATTAAAAGCTTGAAATTTAGGAATCATTCCAAATGGAGGATTTTTTCCCATATAGAGGGAGTGGTTCTCTTCCTGTCTTTCTATAGCAGAAATACGTAACAAGTACAAACTTGACCGTGAAGTTTCATCCAATGAAGGTTCGTATTCATGAGTGATCTCTCTTGATGTTAACTTCTTCGTCATTGGGAAGGGTGGAGTAAAAGCAAGGTGTGAGTTTTGTACAGGCCTTTAACTTGAATTTTTTTAATAGCTATTTTGTGCACTGACTAATTCTGGTCTGTTTCAAGAAATTTTCATTGCTACTTTTTACAAAGAGGTGCTGGAAACTGATGTTAAGCAATATGTATCAGGGCATCAAAGAAGGCCTGTGGCCATTTTACAGACCACAGCACCTATACAGGATTCCAGATGGAAGTTCTTAGGTACAACAGTCTCAGACTACATATCATTCCTTCTTTGAAATGTAAATATTTTTAAACTACTCACAATCCACTATTCAAAAAAGGGGCGGGGAGAAGTATCACAGCATGCATGGAAGCCCTCGGGCACATGTGAACTAGCTTTTGGGATTCTGGCATACAGAGATTTCTTTTGGTTACTGCATCTGTGTCTAATAACAAGCTTCCTGGCCCTGTCTGGATGGGTCAAAGCTACAAACCCAGGTCACTCACAGGCACATCAGAGTGGGTTTTTTTTCTTTCTTTTTTTTGCCTACTCTGGAAGCTCCCCAGATGAACAGAAAGAGACCACTTTTTAAATTAAAGACCCCCTCCCGCATAGGCACACACACAAACCAGGCTGATTAAATTGTCCTGCAAATCACAGAACATTGTCTGCAGCTGTCAGTTAAATGGGGGGGGAGGTGACGGAGCAGAACCAGGCCAGTTAAGGCCTTGATAGGTTAGAGAATCTGAGAGAGAAAGATTTTGAGTAGTCGTCTTTCCAAACTGTTTTCCCCTCCCCAAGCTGATTTATACCTAATATTAAGCCCTTTGTAACAGATTTGGCTGGCAAACCATAGCTTGTTTCGGATTTTACCTTTTCTGAACATTACCAGCATGTACAAAATATGACATCTGTATGATTTAGAATTATATATTTAGGCTATCTAAATGTGAGGGGGGTTCAAGTTACAAGCTGAAAGAAAATGCATTTAATTTAATTTTTTTAACACAGTAGGATACTTTTTTGCAGGCTGTGCTACCAGGTCTCTTGGAAGCTCTTGTCACGATCTTTTTGGGTACTTAAACAAGCCTGCCTATTGTTCCCAAGTGATCGCTACTAGAGAAGTTTAACAAACGTTTGATAAATTAAGAGGTAGTTTGTAGTCTCATCCATGACTTTTGAAGGGTGGAAGAGATACCTTAAAAGACCAGCCTAATCGAACCATACTGGTTTCTACGGTTTTTGTGTTCTCCCTGCTGAATTATATCTGAAAGCAAAAGGCAGCCTGGTTTAATTGTTCTTTTTTCTCTCTGCTGCTGTCTCTTCTGTGGGTGCTTTCCTTGCCCCTCCCTAGGGTTGCTAGCTTTTTCAAGTGGCCTCTGCAGCAGTATCTTTAATTACACTTTTACCTACACAGCTTGCAGGTGTTAATATTTCACTCCATACCATGAAAGGCCTTCCAGCTGATTTCTGCATAAGGAGCCTCTGTTGAAGAACAGGAGCAGGCTCAGCCAGTTCAAGTTTTTTATGACTGGTGGGAACCCTCTTTCTTCCCCACCCTCTGTTGCTTTTGACTTCATTTCACTTCTACCTGGAGCATTCCCTTGATCAACCCCTGCCCACCAAATCATAGCTGGACGGAATTTACAACCACTATTTTGTTTTGGCATGTAACAACAGATAAACATGTTGTAGCCTCCATAATAAAAAAAAAACATTTCTTCAAATCCAGGTCTGGTTCCCAAGAAAATGTAGAGCATTTTAATTATAACTGTATAACTTTGAATATATGGCTTCCTCAGATGTGTTTAACATAGAATAACATCCTTCAGCCATGCATATGAACCACATAATCAAGAATTTAAAATTGTGATCCCCTCCCCCATTCTCTCAATGCATGTTTATGCATGAGAGGTCAGTTTAAATCCCTATTAAGTCAGCATTGGAATAAAGTCAGCATTGGAATAAAGTTAGCATTGGAATATGGCCTAGAAGCCATCATGTGGCTTCCCGGCAGCAAATACTTACTATAGTCCATGAGAGAATTGCACATCCAGTTGTAATCATCTGGCCCTTGTTTGATGCAGTCGGACCACAGAGAGGCTTGGCGGACATAGGGGAACGACGCCGACTCCAGCCAACCCCGGCCAGCCAAAGCGATTATGCCTTGGATGATCGCTAAACCCAAGAGCAGAGGCAGTAGCCATCTACAGCGCCAACAGGCCAGGCCGCACCTCACCATTTTGCCCGGACAATCTTCAGCAGCAGCAGCAGCAGCAACAACAAAAACGGACAAGCCTGAGGGACTGGATGGAATCTTCTTCAAGAAAGTTTCCTTCAGCAGGGCTTGTGTGTGAGCAAGCGAGGTGTGAGTAAGCCCCGGCCTTTTTAATCAGCAGAAAAGCTCCTAGGGAGGAGAGGGCCGCACCTAGATTCCTTTCCCTGAGAACGCAATGGCTGCAGCAACCTGTTGAGCCAGAGAGAAACTGGCTGATAAACAAACCTTGGCTCCAGGAACACTCCCAAGCCTTTAACCCTTTCCTGGCACACACAGTAGGCTGCATATGCAGAGGTACTACTGCAGCTTTCTTCCTACTAGGAAAAATGATTAAACCCACCATAAAAATGGGGGGGGGGTTTTCTGTTAAAGTAAATAGCATTTCTTTATAGATACCTGTTAGCAGCCTGATTCTGTACTTGGTTTTTTCTGAGTTCTGTAGCATTTATTCTTCCCAGATACATCTACAGGCCTATGCACATTTACTTGGAAGCCAATAGGACTGCAACCATAGTTGAGATTATTGTCTATTCTAATTATTACACACAGTCATTTTCCACTTGAAAATCTTTCATGAATTAAAGCGCATCCCACCCTCCTCCCAGTTCTCTAAATAGTAGGGTTTGTTTTTTTAAATCCTGCTGGGCATTTTTTTGACCCAGCCTATGGATACTTTTTAAAGGCTTCTTTGTGACCTGAGCTGGATGTGTACATCAGGATTATTGGCACACTGGGAAGGAGGGAAGGAAGGAAGGAAGGAAGGAAGGAAGGAAGGAAGGAAGGAAGGAAGGA